GTTATTGCATAGCAACCGAAACAAGCATATGTAAAACTCATTTTAACTCCTAACATTCATAAAGACTGATTAAAAGCAACAAACTACAGATTGTATTTCTGCATATCTACAGTAAAAGTGCCCACATAAACCAAAAATTCCATTTAGTATATGCTGAATCATTAAAATATGACCTCAACTAACTTTGACCATAGACATATTTCTGTCATAGAATACAGTGAACACTGACTGCGATATCACTTAAATACTTTATTTTAGCTGGAATTAATTTTCACTGAAAAAACATTTTGGCTGTTTCATACAAAGAATATTTTTATGGATTTTTGATGAGTTGAATGTAAAATATTGAAAAAAAAAAGTATTTACAGTAGATTTTATTTTCACCAACTCATCCCTTCAGTGAAAATAAAATACTTTATAGTGACTGTTTACTTACTTCTATGTCAAACCTTCCAGGTCTTCTCAATGCTACATCTATAGCATTTGGCCTATTGGTGGCGCCAATCACAATTAACTTCTCACGCGTTTCCAGGCCATCCATTAAAGTTAATAACTGTGCAACAATTCTATTTTCATGTCCACGACTTCCATGTCCACGTTTAGGGCACAGTGCATCTAGTTCATCTATAAATAACACTGTTGGACCCTCTTCTGAGAGTCGGTTAGCCTTCTGGAAAATTTTACGCAGATTTTCCTCACTTTCGCCAGGATGGGGCCCAATAATTTCTGGACCATTGATTTGCACAATAAAAGCATTACATTCAGCACATACTGCCCTCACCAGCAATGTCTTGCCGACTCCAGTAGGCCCATGAAGGAGCACACCTTTAGGACACTCAAGTCCAAGTCTTTTGAAAGACTCTTGGTACACAAATGGGTAACTAATGTACTCTTTCAGCATTTTTGCTGGATTTTCGAGCCCGCCATATGAGCACTGAACACTCTGCCCCTCAAATCTCTCATTACTCATCTGGCCAACTATTTTAACCTTGGTTGACATTGAAACGATTCCTACTTTCTTAACATTTGAAGACTTTTTGCCCGAATTTTGTTGCCCAGCTATGTCGAAATGTTTTATTATAATATGCGTAATTCTAGTGTAGCGATGAGCACCACAGTGATCAAGATCCTGAAGTCGGACAACCGAGTTTTGGAAAAGTGCATGGTTCACAAGAATATTGTGAATGTAATCTGACAAACAGGAATCATCCAGAGCATAATGGATAGCTTCATCCGTAGATCTCTGTGAAACTAACGACACACTAACACAGTTTAATTTTGTCACCTTCAACTTTTTCATGTTAGATTTGTGAATAGTTCCAGACAACATACTGGGACTGACACGACTCTTCTCTGGATTAATGGTTCGGTAGACAGTTGTATCACACTGTACATATTCTTCGCAAAGATCACTTCTTGGCCAGATTTGACAGAGCACTTCACAACCTTGCCACGTGATACAGACCCATGTACCCATATTAAGTGACAGGTCTTTCATCATTTTGGGACCAATGTGACATTTCTGGCTTCCCAAATTCTTTGGATCAATTGGTAAGACTGTAACCATCAAGTCCCGATCAGCAGCATCCATGTCAATACAGTATTTCTAAGCTACAATGGGATAAAATGAAATAACAAAATATAAGCATTAACATAACATACTGATCGAAGTAAACAAATTCATGTTTAGACTTAATAAATAAAGTATAATATATACTGTACAATAAATTGGACAGAAAGCTAGATTCGTTATACATAAGGTTTGTTGAAGGCCTGAATTTGATTTATGGAAATTTAAAAATATTTATCCCAAACGATCCTCGCGCTTCATTCAAATCCAAGAAAGATGCTTTCATTCGCTTTAAAAATCATCTCGTTACGCCTTTTACCCACGAGTATTTGCAGGGTTACTTCTATCATTAATAGATAGATCCAATCAAATTTGTTTAAAACCCTTGAAATTACGGAGATTCATTTGATGAAATAAAATCAAAAGAATGCAAGTACAAATACCGACGTAGTGCCATTATTGTTTGGCACAGAAAATTAAATTAAGAAATTGAGCCAGTGTCAACAAAGACGTTAAAGCATACATGTAACTGACTGCAATGAAGTTCTATACACGCAGTATTCGTTTGCTAAGGTTTGTCAAGTTGTTTTCAATCGCCATTTGAAATTTAAACAAATTTATATAAAACGGCTTCACACTTTCATTAAATCCAGTGTAAGTATTTTATAAATATACCGGTACATTTTTATAATCAAAATGAATGTTAGAATTCAAATTGTACAATCTAGATATGGTAATGTGACATCATTGTTAGTTCTAATTAATAGTAATGATCCAATCAGCCAGCATCTTATTTTTAATTCAAGTTACAATAAGCAGGTACAGTACCCTAGCTATCAAATAAGATAAAACAGACTGCATTGATAATGACCCAAAAATTAATGCGCTATATAATTCAACATTCTGCTCTGACCTGTAGCTATACTAAGTGAAATCAAGTTTACTAAAAATTAATTTCAAGCGTTTGAAGACAGTTCCTCTACTGTGGTTTGAAATTAGAATACACAGACAGATTCCTCAGGCAATCACCTAACACTTGTAAATTGAGTTTAAACGCTTGGTGGCGCACTTCATTCAAGTTAATGAGTTCTGAGCCGGGGTTCTGATCTTTTGTGATCTGTGATATCGTAGAGGTATGTCTCCATAGTGGTATTAATATTTCTATTATATATTTTGTTTACAATTTTCGGACACTAACTTTTTTTATGAAAAAGTGTGATCTCACTCGCAGCATTCAAGTAAAAAAAAATCTCGGTCCCCCTTCCCTTATTTTCATTGAAATAAACTGATTTTCACGTCAAATAAGGCAATTAAACAATACATATGGAAGACAGAAAACATACCTACATGCGTACAGAAATCGGAGGTGTGTATGCAGCGTGCAGGACATAACACCATTGATACGGAGGTTGACCCCGACTGAGGAACTCTGGGAGTCGTGTCAAAATGGCGGCTGTTATTCGGTTTTCACACATGCTCCGAAGCCTGCCACACATATACTGCAGGCCGACCGTGCTAGCAACAACAAAAGTAGCAGGATATGCCAAAAAGACAGGTAAGTGTATCATGCGAATATAGAAATTTTATTTACGATTGATGTATAGACGATATTCTGTGCACGGGCGCTTGAACTGTGATTATTTCACAACCCTAACCCTAGTATAACCACCGTTATTTTACTAATAACCGTAGTATAACACGACCCTATCACAACTTTTGAATAGTGGCCGTGGTTTTGTGCGTCCTTGGTTTTCAGTCCAGACACCGTCCTACAACGGTGGTCAAGATCACCCTCCACATGTGGCCGCCACGTATGTTGAGATTAACTGGTGCATGGAGGTTATGCTCCAGTCAATGTCAACCCCCACCCTCCCCACCTCGGGGTTTAGTGGGGGATTTGGAAATTATTGTTGTAAAATTTGCGAAATGCCCCACCTCCTGGGGCAAGATGGATAGGCAAATCCCAACCCAAAACAAACCCCCCACATTTCTCCCACCGATCGCCACT